AAGGACTATTTTTGAGAAGCAAGTAGATGGGCCGGGTGCGACAGGGTTGGATCCTACTGTGGATGGACAACATCTTGCACAAGCTGGGATGGACGAAAGCTTATCAGCACTGAAGTACATCACCGACATGGTGCGCAGTGGCTTTTATCCAACCAAAGTCATAGGTGTGGAACATGGGGTGTTAGCGTCTTTGGCTTTGATACCGTTACCCTTCGGAAATTCCTCGTAAAGTGTGGAAGTAGTTCTAATGGGTATCCCACTTTGGTGTCACCGCAATTGTCATTTTCCACAACCACGTCCACAGCATAGTCGCTACGAAGCTTTGCTCGAGGAACCACACGGTTGCCGTCACCGCCGGCTCTGAGGAGCTGAAACCGCAGGCTTGGCTATGGTCCAGGAATGCATTGGGGGGCTGAGCGTCTCCAAGCCCAGAACACAGCAGGTGGCTCCACCTGAGTTCAACATCCCATCGTTCAAAGAGTTCAAGGTTTGTTTGTATGTTCGTTGTGTTTGTTTGTTTGTTTGTTTGTTTGTTTGTTTGTTTGTATGTTTGTTTGTTTGTTTGTTTGTTTGTTTGTTTGTTGTGTTTGTTTGTTTGTTTGTTCGTTTTCTTGCTGCTTGCTTGTTTGGCTGTGTGGTTTGGTTTTGATTTGGTATTGATTTAGTTTTGATTTGGCTTGGTTTTGGTTTTGGTGATGGTGTTGGCTGTGGCTTTGGCTTGGCTTGGTGTGTGTTTTTGCTTGCTTGTTTGTTTGTTTGGCTGTGGTGTGTGCCTGGTGTTGTTTGCCTGCCTGCTTGTGCTTGTTATTTGTTTGTTTGCTTGCTTGCTTGCTTGCTTGTTAACTTTTGTTTGTAGTGACTGGACACAACGAATGAGGCCACACTTTAAAATCATGCATTTTGAACAGGTACGCAACACGCCTTGCACTTCCCCTCCTATGATGTCCGCGTGTGAATGGTTTGCAAAAAAAGAGACGCTAGCACCGAGAGAAGATGATTTCACTTCAGCCGTGCGTCAGCTTGTTGATTTGTGGAAAGAAGCTGGTTACATGATGCAACGCTTTGACATTGTGCAGTGGCATTCGAACAACTGGCACTGCACAGTGGCCGAATAATTTGCTTGATTCCTGATCTCAATTCAGCATTGTGCTTGCAATGCAATGTTTTTGTTGTGCGCTTCGCTTCGTTCAAGACCAAACAATGCCTCGTGCGGTCGCTGGGTGCGATTTAACCCAGTTGCAAATGGGGCACTCCCCAATGAGCCTGACCAACTAGCGGTGACCTCAACTCCCTGGAGTTTCTACCCTTACCCACAATGAAGGGTTCCCTTCTTGTGGGCCTTTTATCTTGAATCGATGAGTCATCATATTTTTCCCAGATCGCTGCATGCCAGAGAGATAAAGCAGATGTGTTATCGTGGAATCTGTTCCTTCAGCCGGTCTCTGTCCCGAGCAGGTATGTTATGTTTCTTTGTTCTCTCTGCGGCTGCGGGTACTCGTTCCATTTGTGGAATGGTTTGAACACGGACACCAACCATGTTGGGGTTTCCCCATGTAGAGGCCAGCATCCTGAGAACGATACACATAGCAAGAGCAAGTCGTTTTATTGCATGATTTATGAACAGCACGCCCGCTTAGTGGTTGCCTATTTTGCCCTTCGACTTCTGTTTTGAACATAGCCTCCAGGAACTTGCCAAAGCCAGAATCGGCTCCGACCCCATATCTGGCGCGGCTGGGGAAAAGCGTGGTACAAGACAGGCTCTCCGGTGGATGCCCTAAATGTTGCAAGCAAACCAGCCACACTCAAAAAGGACACTGTATATTCGGGGCTTCCTTGGTCCCTTGCTTGCAATATGCAGGTCGTCCACTGTCTCGCTCTGGCCAGGCCGTGAGCTACAACCTTCCCGTGCCTGGGAGGCATTTGCTCGACTTGCTGCGAGCTCCAGCGTGTTTGGCACCGGCGGGGGATGGGGGACAACATTTGCTGGGGGCACATTTGTTGGGGCAGTAAACCGGTTGTAATAATCGGGTTCCAGCTTACACCAACGCGTGTAGCATCCGACACTAGAACCCATTCAGGCTTATTCAAAGGAACGCTCCTTTTACAGGGGAACCAAACACAAGTTGTATTGACAGTCTTTAGGCGTTTTAAGGTGTTGCACGCCTGCAATGGGCCCAGAAAGGTCAGGGGCGCCCGAACGGTTGCGATCGGTTTGCATTCGCTGAGGCCGGCACCGTAACCTTTAAGTTCGAGCAGATGCTGCCAGTCGGGGAGGCCGGCCGCTGGAAGTCCGTTGGGGCGAGCTCTCCGGTCACCATCTCAAATGGGCGACCCTGCTTGTGGCGTCGGGCCGCCCTATTTTGAGAAGACCTATAGTAGGTAAGCAGGGAATGTCACATAAAACCTGCGGGAGCAATTAATTTGATACTGGAGTGCTAGCTGAAAGCACTGGGATTGGCCGGGTTGTTGACTCCCCCGTTCACGCTGCACTTGTGGATGGGAGGGTGTTTGCTCTGAACAGGCTGGGATGTCCTATATTATTTCCTTTGCTTAAATGATGATGGTATAGCAGATTTGGATATTAAGTCGGTCTGGGCGGAGCTTTGACCACAAGAGGTGCGTCAGAGCCGGGGGCGATGCGGTTTCCTTTCGGGATCCTCCGAAAACCATCCCACTGACCCTAGGATCAAAACATGGACGAGTTTTCTTGTGAAGGTTGGAACTTTGGAACGACTCTCCCACAGGTTGACTTTGACCCCAAAACACATGATTCCTACAAAGTCTCATTTTGCGGCACCTGCCTCCTTTTTCGGGGCAAATGTTGTTTCCAAGGCCATGTTCCTCCAAGGCACCTTCGGGAGTTCCTGGCTTTCTGGTGGAACAACTTGGCATGCAAACCAAACCCAGGAAGAAATCATAGGAGTCTTGTCCTTTCGGGGCCAAAAGAGGGTGTACACTTTCGCTTTTCTTGAGATGTGATTGGCAACGGACGGGCCAACCGCTGAGTCAGGTTGGGACTTGCTTGATTGCGCATCCGTAAAGAATGACTGGGCACTTTAAAAAGTGACCTGACACGGGGTGTTTTTTTGAGACTATCCTTGCATCGAAAGGCCACTCTCGCGATGGAATTCTTCGGCATCCTCAACGACCAGATGGCAGGTCTGGGATGTGGAGCCTGGTGAAGGTTCTTGACCCTAAGGGTCCCAGTAGCTTCTAAGAAGGTACTTAGACCCATTTTCACCCTCACAAACCACCCTTGAGGGGTACTTGGACCCTGTGGGTTACGGGTATGTCGTATTTTCGGTGGAAACAGGAATGCTTCTAAAAAAAGCGGATCGAGATGGACATCCCCAGACCCCGGGCCGTTTCCACTTTTTCGAACAAGGGTGGCCCGTTTCTCTCATTGCCACGGGAGGGCTGGGTATCCCTTTACGGATGGTCAACGGAGAGACAAGCAGCAAATCATGTGTATGATCATGACCGGCATTGTGTGAATGTATCAGATTTTCAGTTCATACCAATTTGGGTTGTTTGACTTTGACTCATGTGGATTTTTGTCCTTGCACGGAGGGTCCATGTGGATGAGGAACGGTCAATCCTCATGATCATTGCTGCCGTCAATGCCGCTGTCGTCATCATCACCATCATCACCACCATCATTGTCATCGTCATCCTCCTCATCATCATCCTTATCATCCTCAGTTCCATCCTCATCCTCATCACCAGCACCATCACCACCATCGTCATGATGTTCACTATAAATATATCATGTTGTTCTCATCATCCTCACCATCACCATCATCCTCTTCATCACCAGCATCAGCATCACCACCACCACCACCACCACCATCATCATTATCATCATCATCATCATCATCATCATCATCATCATCATCATTCCAGTTGCAAATGGAGTGCCATTGTGGAGCTGCTCACCAAATCGGTGGAAGCCAACATAAGCCAACGCTTCTCCAGATTTGTTCCGGGCCCTTGGGCAAGTGAGGATCTTTCCGAATGGAAGCATCTCTCAGCTGCCTCGGGTGCCTTTCACTGATTCACTCATCTCCCAACCATGGTTTGCCTTTTAGACCTATTTCACTGTTTGGTTGAACAAATTCCGGGACCGCCTCCCTCTTGGAGGGGTCCGCTTGATTTCCTCCAGGGACTCGGTCAATGCGCCCTGGCAGGCTTCTACCGATCAGGCCGGGCGCGCTTAGCCGAAGTGGGCGGATGCGGAAAGCGTTGACTTGCACTGGCAGCTTCCAGGCAAGCCATACTAGGTTTTTCAGTAGTGCCCTTTTACCGTTTCTTTTTTGGGCGAGGGTCCCCCTACTAAAATAGACTACAGAAAAAACTTGGTACCCTTCTTCTAACCTCTCTACTGGAGGACCTAGCATAGTAACCAAGCTGTAACGTATCATTCACAAAACAAAGTTCTGGTTGCTTGCTGTGAGTGGCTTGCCTGGGATGGACAGGTGCTCACTCAAGAATCGACCGGACAAGTGAACCCACTGACACACCTCCTCCAGATGAACCTGGAACCAAGCAAACTTCTGCCAAGAGTCTAGAGGAGTCCTTTTCGTCGCCACTTTTTTGGGGGGATTGTTGTGACGGGTATTTAAAGGGACACCACGTTGCTTCTGTTGGGGGTCCAATGTCCGATGGTGAGACACGTCATTTCGAGTTGAGTTGCACTCCAAGCTCAACATGGAATCTGCAAAACGATGATTCTTGGAGGAGGCTTTTTTTGGGTTCCCTGGTTCTGGCGCAATGTAACAATGAGAGCGGTGTATGGTACTGGTCAATGCTTAACTGGTGACCCGACCATTGGAGAGACGTCATGTGGTCTCCCTAAACTTTGGACTCCATGAAACAACCGCCGAAGCCAAGCCCAAACCCAAGCCAAAGCGCCCTCCCCATGAAGCATGGTGCTCCAAAAAAGGGCTCCAATTCTTCTACCAGGGTTACTGGTTGCAACTGAAATCCCGAAAAGTTCATCCATGGGTGTTGTTCGGAGAGAGACCCCCAACCTGTTTCGTGGGTCTATGACAACCACAAGGCAAACGAAGATCAACAAACAGGCTTGGAGTTGGAAAAGCAGTTGCCGGAGCGTTAAAACGCCTCCGAAACCAAACCACAAAGTCCTTCAAACGAGTGGTCCCCCTTGGAATATGTTTGAGTGGCAGGTTGTTTGCATCTCTTTGGCGAAGTGGGCCGTGGTGGATATGTCTTGGGTCTTGATGATTTTTTTTGGGTTTGGACAGTGTGGAAGGCTACAAGGACATCAACGGCAAGTCCAAGATCATGGCCTCCACCCAGTTCGAGTCCCTGGACGCACGTCGGGCCTTCCCCTGCTGGGACGAGCCCGCCAGGAAGGCCGAGTCGCGGACGTCGGCCCAAAGGCAACCAAATGGGGGTTGGACCCACTAAAATGGTGGCGGCCCTTTGGTTTTCTTTGAAAAGAACCTCACACATGGGGTACCCTGAAAGAAAGAACACCAAAAGTTGACGTCATGACCCCAAAGACGAGCCATGTCTTTATGGCAACCATTAATGGACTCTTTTGTGAGAAAAACATTGGCTGATCCCCAATGCCCTCCATTCGACTAGCAATCATATGCGGATTCGGCCAATGGCAACATCCTCCCTCCAGACATAGTAAGTTGTTGTTTGCGTTTTATTTGTGGGTTGGAAAAAGGGAGCTGCGAGGGGCTGAAAGTGGGCTCAGCTTTGGATGCGCAAGGTAGGGAATGTGTTCAGAGTGTTTGCGGTGTTTGGGAATAGACCGTTTGGGAGCCCCTGAAGTTATTTTAAAGGAATTACCAGTTGGATGGTCGAGTTCTGGTCAGGGGCCTCATTCCCTGCTGAGAACCATGTTTGTTTGCTGTTAGGACACCAACGCGGATGGTTGTTTTTTGAGGGCACTGTTTGGGGTTTGTTTGAAGGGGAAGAGTATGGGAAACCACCCATGAGGTGCGTGCCACATGAGAGAGAGAGACAGGGGAAAAGTTATGGGAAACCACCCATTGTGTGAGTGCCCCACTGAGAGAGAGAGAGAGAGAGAGAGAGAGAGACCCCCTCAATGCCAAACAAGGTTGGGCAAGACGTGGTCAAGCAACCAGGTTGCCCTTTTTTCCCTGTTTCTACGGGACACTTCCCTATTCTGTCCAGGGATCCTTCTTTTCAGAAAACCATGAGAACCTCAGGGGAAACAGCGATCGGTTTTTGAATGGGAATCAACCCCTTGACTGTTGGAAATCCGAGCCCGTGGAAGTAGGGGACTCTAACACGTGCCCCCGGCCATGCGCGAGGCCACTTTCGGCCTGACCCTGGTGGTGGACACAGGCGACGTTTGGGGAGGGCATGTGGAAGAGGGGGGTAGAGGCCTTGTTGTTTGGCTGTTCAAAGGCACTCCTCAATCCTTGCCTCTGGTTCCGAAAGGGGTCCTTTTTTGTAGTGATGTTCCAATAGAGAATGACTATGGCTTAGGATTGGCCAAGAATACACTTTGAGGAGGTTCCGATTTCCCACCTGCGCCTCGTTTAAAGTGAGTTTCGCCATTTGGATGCCATGATATTCAAAGGGGAACTATAGGCAGAAGTCTGCGCCGAAACCGGGATAGCGATGGACCAAATCCACGCAAGGCGCCAGAAGAAAAATGCTGTCCATCCACATTGGTTTGATGATTACTAGGAGAGGTTTAGCAGGAAATAGTTGGAAGAGCTTCTTTTTCGTGGGTACCTACATTAGGTTTTGCAAATGCCATCAACTGACATCAACTGACATCAACTGACTGCAACCAGTTGCACAGTTGCACTAGTAGTAGCGAGCTCACCCAAAGGGGAGGGGGGGAGACGGAGCAATTCCACACACATCATACAAGGTCCTCAGTAATAACGGAACCAAGAAAGCAACATATTAACATGCATTGTTTCATTAAGATCATGGTGAATCCCTTAGTTGGGAATGCCTCCATTCTGGGAGTGAATTGCAGTAGCGCAACTATGCTCTTCCCAACTGCAAAGACAAGTGTCAAATATGGTTCCCTTCCCTCCCCTCCCCTCCCCTCCCCTCCCCCCCTCCCCTCCCCTCCCCTCCCCTCCCCTCCCCTCCCCTCCCCTCCCCTCCCCTCCCCCCCTCCCCTCCCCTCCCCTTCCCTCCCCTCCCCTCCCCTCCCCTCCCCTCCCCTCCCTCCCTCCCCTCCCCTCCCCCCCCTCCCCTCCCCTCCCTCCCCTCCCCTCTCCCTCCCCTCCCCTCCCTCCCCTCCCCTCCCCTCCCCTCCCCTCCCCTCCCCTCCCCTCCCTCCCCTCCCCTCTCCCTCCCCTCCCCTCCCCTCCCCTCCCCTCTCCCTCCCCTCCCCTCCCCTCCTGTTCCGCACATCTTGAACTGTTTGTTTTTGTGATTTTCCTGCATCTTCCCTTTTTGATCGGGAAGAGCTCAACTTTTGCAAGGGTCAAAGTCTGGGCTCCGAGATTTGTGTAAATTTTCCCGAAGAAAATCAAACAGCGAAGACAACTATAGAAGTGGGGTTGATGTTGTATTATCCAAGGTGTCCGACAATGCATCCAAATATCCCAACAGTAGTGATATTTGGAAGGTTCTTCGGAGCCCAAAGCTAAAACAGATGACCAAACCACAAGATTAGACATGTTGCAGTGTTTTTCAGGAACTTTTTTGCTACCCTTCTAACGGGGTCTTTGGAGCAACCCTGATGTTCCACTCAGATTTGCAACTCACTGCTTTCAGGGTATATTCACGTATATACACATTTTCCTGAAGGAAAGTTCGACAAACAAAGAATCTTCCCAGATCAAGCCAACGGGCAACGACATATTTTCCGGTTTCCCTAAACCCAACGTGGATAAGCCTACCAAACAAGACGGGTGAAGTGTCCAGCGCGAAAGGCCTGACGGCGCTGAGCAACATGCCGGAGAAATCCCGGCGAAGCCTGGAGGGAGGTGCCACTCGGCCACGTTTGGAGATGGGTTAACTACCACAAACGTTGGGGGCTCTCTTGGTTTAGCACCCTATGTATAAACCAACAAAAGCGGCCAAGTGGTTCCCAAGTCATCTGGGCAAATTAGAACGAGCTCAGATGGGAGGCAAAACGAGCTCATCCAGGATGTATGTTCTTTCCTTTAGGGTTTGGGAATTATTGTAGAATTAGCAAGCCATGCTTCCCTTATGAACCTGCGCGAAGTGGGTTTAAGCACAAGACACCCTAGCCTTGAACAGGGACGCTTGCCTGCCGATGTTCAATTAACAGTCCTTGGCCACAAGGGTGTCCCTGACCTCATTGTACTCTGTGAATCATGGTCTGGCCAGAATCCTGTGACCATGGGCAAAGCGAATTCACCCTCTGCCAAGGTCGAAGTCAGGGTCCACACATTTGCACTACAACAATGTAAAGCCTCCCTCAAATGTGTTACTTAGGGGTTCCTTCGTCCCAATAGTTCTACGGCAGTGCAAAGGGCCCGCCCTAGCTACTGTAACCGACTCCGGCCACTTGTCACGCCTGTTCGGCACCCGAGGCCAAGACGGAGATTGCGTTTATGGAATCGCCAAAGATGCCGGGATCCTAGGGGAAGCGGGGGCTCAGGGTTCAGAACCGATTCTGCCCTACCAACCCGTAGATTCCGGCCTTCTTGGCCCGGACAAGGCTTGCTAACCCCCCAATCCTCAGGGGTGTTTGTTTGCTGCTTGGTTTCACAGGCTGAGTAAGGGTGTATATGACCAAGTGTTTTCCGTGGGACAGATGGTGACTCCCCATATTGCTGGTAGAACCAATCTTCTCGAGAGTTTGGCGAGCTTTTTTTCAAATCAGCTCACCCAGGGGGGTTTGCCTTTTCATCGCCGTCTAAGACATGGGCTTCAGCCTGCAATGTGTGTGTGTGAAAGAAGCCCGACCTCATCTAGGATCAACCAGTTGGGGGTTGGGGTGGTCTGCCTTTCGACAGTAGCCCATTTTCTTACCTGCTCAGTTTGCAATTTTCAGAACGTCCCAACATCGTTCATTGTTTTTCTATCCCGCCAACCCAGCAGGTCAGTTTGGTTGCGAACCAAGGAGCCCTCCAGAACTTTTGACGCCCAGTAGAGGGGTTTATTTTCCCCAGAGAGAGGCTTGACTGGCCAACTCGTTGGCTTGACGGGAAGAACCTTCAAGCCTTCGCCGCTGGCCAGTTGGCTCCTGGCAGTCAACGCACAACACGTTCTGCCCATGAGGATTTCTCTCCAAAGCGGCGCCCGTTTTGGTGAGCACCCCGAATCCTGAGGTCAACCTACCTGCTTGCCTTCCTGGTGGGTGAGTTTGACTTCACGCAGGCAGCGATTCTTTTTTGTGCTGAGACCGGGTTCCTCCGTTGGCCAGTTGACCCCAGCACAAGGGTGGAGCATTCGACAACGGTCATCTTGAGTTTCCCTAGGGGGCAGCATTTCTACCAGTTTGCCGATCGGGTCTTTGGAGGATCTCTGCGAGAGGCTGGCTTGACATACACTAAAGTCGGCTTCTAGCTCTGTTCAGGATGGACAGTATTTTTCCAAAGACCCTACAGAACGCACCCCAAAGAACCCACACGCATTTATATTGATATACTGTTCAGGGATCAGCGTGGTAGCAATCCGCAGGGTCCTGGCTCACTTGGATGTTTAACCATAGGTTATAACATAAGTTAGGACCATGGATATAGCTTGA